TGTTGGCCAGGCTGGTCTCAAATTCCTGACCTCAGGTGATGCCCACCTCAGCCTCCCAAAGTGCTGGGATTACAGACGTGAGCCACCACGCTTGGCTTGTTTTTTTTTTTTTTTTTTTAATTTTTTAAAAAATGTTTATTTTTCAAATAAAATATGTATAGATTAATAGGATGTTGCAAAGAAATGTACAGGGAGGTTCTGTGCAACCTTCACCTATCTCTGCCAATATTGATATCCTATATAACTACAGAACAAGATCAAAATCAGTAAATAGTTCAGCATCTCATAGTTATGACAACCTGAGGTCATTGATTAATACAGAATTTTAGTGTAACATGACTTTTTCATAAAAAATAGCATTCTTTATACTATAAAACCTTTATTTTAATAACTTATTACCAGGAAATATATCAAAAAAGAGCGGGTTTAGATAGTTGGTTTTTAACCTTTTAGGACATAGACCCATTTTAGAAGACAATGAAATATGAACCTTTTTAGCAAAAAAAAAAAAAAGACTTACATGTATACAGAATGTTCATGGTTTCAAAAACATTCCATATACCCACCCCTCCAAAATATGCTTAGGCTTCAGATTAAAAACTCTGGTTTAGCTGGGCACGATGGCGTGTTCCTAGGGAGGCTGAGGTGGGAGGATCACCTGAACCGAGGAGTTTGAGTCTGTAATTTGCTTTGCCATGATTATGCCTGTGATTGAATAGCCACTGCACTCCAGCCTGAGCAACATAGCCAGATTCTGTCCGCCAAAAACAAAAACAAAAACTTCTAGTATAGAGCAACATTTAAATAAATACATTTACTTAAATCCAGAAACTTGTTAATAATCCTTATTTTTTATTATCTTTTTTTATTTATGATTGTATTTATTTATTTATTTATTTAGAGAGGGAGTCTCACTCTGTCGCCCAGGCCGGACTACAGTGGCGTGATCTCGGCTCACTGCAACCTCTGCCTCCTGGGTTCCAGCGATTCTTCTGCCTCAGCCTCCTGAGTAGCTGGGACTACAGGCACATGCCACCATGCCCGGCTAATTTTTTTCTATTTTTAGTAGAGACAGGGTTTCACCATATTGGCCAGGCTGGTCTCAAACTCTTGACCTTGTGATCCACCCACCTCGGCCTCCCAAAGTGCTGGGATTACAGACATGAGCCACTGTGCCTGGCCTATTTATGATTTTTAATATCTTTTTCCAGTTCTGCTTATAGCAAAGCTTCCTTCTGGCACCCACTCCCAAACTTCTTATTACTCCTTGAATTACTCATTGAAAGCTCTTGGATTCTCCATAGCTCTTTGTTGCTTAGAGAAAAAAAAATCCTCTGCTTCCAACGTTATTGCCCTTACAAATGTATTTTATCTAGGACTGCTTTCTTGTGCACAAAAGGCCTTCGGTCAATAACTTTTGGTTCTCTTGCCCTTTTCATGTCACCACCATAAACATGGGTATTTTGCGACATGGCTACGGAGTTAGGGGTCAGCCCCAGCAGGAATCACTGATACCCAGCTAGAAGAAGGGAGATAACTGGGAGCTCCTGTCAGTTCTGAGCCAGACACTAGCAGCCAGGTAATTTACTTCCATAGCCAGGACTCACCTAGGTAGTGAGTCAACAGAGGCATATAGGTCAGAGCGGCAGTCCAGCAGGAGGATATAGATGTTTAAAAAGCCAGGTTTATGATCTAACCAGAATTACAGGTTACATCTTTATTCTTTTTTTTTTTTTTTTAATTGAGACGGAGTTTCGCTCATTGTCCAGGCTGGAGTGAAATGGCACAATCTTGGCTTACTGCAACTTCCGCCTCCCAGGTTCAAGCGATTCTCCTGCCTCAGCCTCCTGAGTAGCTGGGATTACAGGCACATACCACCACGCCCGGCTAATTTTTGTATTTTTAGTAGAGACAGGGTTTCGCCATGTTGGCCAGGCTGGTCTCAAATTCCTGACCTCAGGTGATCTGCCCGGCCCAGCCTCCCAAAGTGCTGGGATTACAGGTGTGAGCCACTGTGCTCAACCTAGGTCTTTGTTCTGAGGACCATTCCTGCCCTAGTTACAACCTCATGTATGCTTCCTGCTGAGGCAAAGCAGAGAGAAGTATTTTGCTGCCATGGAGCCAGATCCCCCAGTTTTGATAGTCTAGACTCTACAAGGAAGTGGTTACACCTAGAAACGTGTGGGTGGAAAATGAGGGCTGATGCAGACCCTGCATGAGGGACTGGCTGTGTTCTGCTCCAAACTGGCCAAGGTAGAAGAAAGTCACAGTGCTTTCACTGTGTCTATCAGCTGCATGATTTCTTTCTTTTTTGTTTTTTGTTTTGTTTTGTTTTGTTTTTTTTGAGACGGAGTCTTGCTCTGTTGCCAGGGTGGAGCGCAGTGGCACAATCTCAGCTCACTGCAACCTCCGCCTCATGGGTTCAAGCAATTCTCCTGCTTCAGCCTTCCAAGTAGCTGGGACTACAGGCACACGCCACCCACCATGCCCACCTAATTTTTGTATTTTTAGTAGACACGGGGTTTCACTGTGTTGGCCAGGATGGTCTCGATCTCCTGATCTTGTGATCCGCCCACCTTGGCCTCCCAAAGTGCTGGGATTACAGGCATGAGCCACCGTGCCTGGCCCAGCTGCATGATTTCTTTATGGAGATCTTTCTCCAATGAGAAGTTTCACAACTACCAAGTTTTCTGTCTGCTGATGAAAGCCCTGTATTTTCCATACAGTTGATTTTTCTTTCTTTCTTTTTTTTTTTTTTTTGAGACGGAGTCTTGCTCTGTCGCCCAGGCTGGAGTGCAGTGGCGCAATCT